AACCTAAGGTCAGTTCATATCACACTCAGCTCAAACTCCTCGATCACTGCTCCTGTTGTCTGGACAAGAGACACAGCCCTCGCCCTGGCCCACAGGGCCCCACGCTTCCAGCTCCTCTACCGCTGCCCTGCTTCAGCCTCACTTACAGACTCACCAAACTCAGCCTCAGGGCCTTTGCACGTTCTGGTCCCCTGCCTGGAACCCTCTGCCACCAGACGTCTGCCTGGCTGCCGCCCTCCCCTCGTTCAGGTTTCTGCTCAGATCCTCTGTCAGAGAGGTCTCCCCAAACAAAAATAGGGGCCCACCTTCCCAACCCTCTCACTTCTTTGTCACTTCAGCATCTTGTTCTGCTTCATTACGTGTTGTTGTGTTTTTTTTTTACCCTGGAAATACGGGGGTTTTTTTCTTTCTTTGTTTATTTTTATTTTTATTAGTTTCAGGTGTATAAAACAAGGCAATGATTAGACATTTACACACCTCACAAAGTGATAACCCCAACAAGTCTATTACCCATCTGACACCATACAGAGCTATTACAATACCACTGACTATATTCATTACTTTTCGTAGTATCTTTATTGCCTAGCATTATTTTTTTATTTATGATTGCTGTTTCACCTCCCTTCTCCTCCCACCCCTTTTAAATGCAAGATCAATGAATGTAGACACTTTGCTTTTTTTTTGCTGCCACATTTCCAATACCTGGCACATGGGAGGCACTTAAAAACTATTTGCTGGACAACTGACTGAATAAATGAACTTTCTCTATGGCAGGCACTGAGTATTTCACATAGTTCTCCCATTTAGCCTTCTAAAGGACCTCCAGGGTGGGTACTGCTGTTATCACCATTTCACAGATGACAGAAAGGAAGCTTAGAGAGGTGGTAGCCTAGTGCAGGTTACCTAGGGCAGAGCTGGAATATGAACCGCGGGAGGGAGTTTGGTCGCTTTGTGCCAGGGCAGCCCTGGCCTGTACAGAGCATGGCCTGAGCCTAAAAGGGATCAGGAGAGTGAGGTGCTCAGGAGGGTGGAAATTTTCTGGTTAAGCACCAGTAAGGTCATCTGTTACATGGGCCCTCTCTCCCCTCCATAGAAAGAAGAGGCCATCAAAAGATTTCCTGGGCCAGCCGAGTGCCTTGTTGGTTAAGAGTTGGCTTGGGATGCCACCTCTGAGCAGTAGGGCCCCAGTTCGGATCCCACATGAGGGCCAGTGATGCTGCGCCCTCTACAGCTAAGATGGTGAACAACAGCTCGACCTGGAGCTTGGTTG